TTAAAATAGGTAAGAAATTATAAATAAATTAAATTTCTTCAAGAATAAATAATAATAATGAATGAGAAACAATTAAAAAAAAAAACTAATTTAATTTTTTTATTTATAAAAATTAAAAACTATTTAAATAAATAATTTATTATTTTAATACAATTACAAATATTTAATTATAATCACTTATGGATTTTTTTGTTGATATCGATGATTTACTATTTTAATGCTTTTAATTAAAATATAAAATATTAACAATATATTTATTTTATAATTATAAAATATAAAAAGAAAATATAGTAATAAAAATCTTTTTACTATTTATAAAATTTGAATTTAAAATGATAAGGATAAAATTTAATTAAATTTTAAAAAATAATAATTATGTAAATATTATAACTAAATGATAACTTATAATAGAGGAAAACACAAAATAAATATCTAATAAAAATAAATATTATTTATATTACCTAAAAATGCATTAGGTAAATTCAAATTTTTTAAGATTAGATTAACAAAAATATCTTTTATTTAAAGTTTTGTGATTATAGTAAAATATGATTATGATATACGACACAATATAAAAACAAACTTCATAAGAGAAATTTTAAAAAAATATATTTTTTAATTATTAAAACTCATTGATATTATATATATATTTATCTAAAGTGTATTTTAAAATTTATTAAATATATAAAAATTAAAAGAAAAAAATTTGTTAATTAATTTTTTTTTTCTTAATAAAAAAGGAAAATTTGATTTTTTTTTTTTTGAAAAAATTGTGGTTTGTGCAAAACAAAATGGTAACCGGATAGACGAGAGGCAATGATTAGAAATTAAAGATGGTGAATGATTAGTATATTACTATTTAGCATCTTTTTAATTTATTTTTTCTTATTTTTTCTTAATTTTTTTTAATTTAAAATATTCAATCAAAAAAAAAGGAAACAATTGGTTTTCCTCCTCTTATTTTTTTATATTATATTTTTTGTTTAAAATATACAGAAAAAAAAAATATCTTAAAAAGTAATATACTATAAATTTAATTTTTATAAATAATAATAAAGTTTAATGTTATTAATTTAAAATTATATGCCATTATAAATACAAAATTATAATATTTGTGGTATGCTATCATAAAAACTCTCTAACAATGTGATATTATATATATAAATTCACAATACTTTTTAAAAAATTATTTTTTTACTTTTTTAATTTAATAATAGAAAGTTTTGTAATATTAATTTATAATTATAATATAAATTATGGTTAAAAGATAGCAAATAATTTACATAATAATATTATATAAATATAAACTCACATCAAATAAGTAAAAAGGTATTTTACAGACAAATAAAGGGGTTATTTTTATTGAAACTGCATATGCATTTTTTATAAAAATTTAGAATATTCTTGATTTTTCATAAGTAAAAAAATTAAAATTTACATATATTATACTATAATTATCTTAAAATAATTTTTTTTTATATAATTTTTAAATATCATGATAATTAAATAATTAATATTATAGTAAATTATTATAGTATTTTTCTAGAGAAAATTAAATAACAAATTTTTATTTTAAAATCATGATAAAATAAAGTAATTTTATAAAAATAGAAATAAATACATGTTTATTATAATATATATATTATTTGCACATATTTTTCTTATTATATTTTTTTAAAAATACAATTAAAAAAAAAGTAGATATAATATATATTATCGCTTTATTCTTTTTTAGTTTTTTAAAAAGATTTACATATAAATTAAAAAAAATATTAACACACAAAATTTTTTAAATAGAAATTATCTTAATCTCTATAATTTAGAGAAATTAATTTTTTCAGTTTTCTTAATACTAATAATTTTTAAGCTATAGAATATATTTGAAAATCTATAAAAAAAAAATTATACAAAAACTTTCAGAACGGAATTAAGATAAATTACAGACTCTGCCTACCTAAACTGCCATTTTTCTACGGAAATTCTCCGTTTTCCAGAACATCATTAAATAAAGACTAACATAAAAGCTTGAATGCTTTAAAATAAAAAAGTATAAAAAAGCTTAATTTATTTTTGAATAAAATCATTATCCGATTTCTATTATAATTAAAAAATAAAAAACTAATTGTTTTAAATTCTATAAGTTTTTTAAAAAAGGATTATGTATTTTCTTTTTTTTAATTTATAAATAAAAATATAGAAAATAATTAAATTGTGAACTTGGTAATAAAATAATTGAAATAAATACATACTTAATTAAAATATACTATCATAATTTAAATAACTAATATTTAAACGAAAGAGCTTCTTAAAACCAAAAGAACTTCCAAATAAATCCTATCAGACATGCAATATTGTTTGTGTAAATAAATTGAATATAAAAACACAATAAATATGAGAGAAAAAAATATATAAACATAAATAAATACTACTATATTTTTTTTCTTATAAACGATAATAATATAATATTAATTATTAAAAATTAATTTTTCATTTTTGTCAATCATTTAGTACTATTTTCATTTTCATCTTTGCTTAAAATTTCTTGATTTTGTTCATCTTTGTCTTCTTCCCAAATAGCTTCACTTTAGTAAGTTTCTGAATAAAGTAAACTTGCCTAACTTTATAATTCAGGATTTTTACTTAAAGTTAATTAATATAATTTTTCTCTACCTCCTAATTAATTAAAATGATTAGCGAAAGGATTATGACAATAATGTTTCTATTATTAAATTAAGCTTCCGAATTTCATTAAATGTAGCAATCCTTCAACTAAAGTTAAATTAAATTCAATATCATAACAATTATTTAAATAAAAAACAAACAAATCTAAGACAGGAAAATCGTCTAAAAATTCTTAAACCTAATCTTTACTAATGTAGCAAAAAACATAATAAAAAGCTTGAATAGCTTCTTTTCTCAAAATGAAATCATTTTAAAATGTTTCTTCGTTACTTGCTAAATTTAATAAATCTTCAAAAATAATTTTATCTTGAATCATAAAGTCTATTACTGTTTCTCCAGATGCACATAAGTTTTGTATTATTAATGTTATAATTTTTCTTATTTTAAGTTCTCTATGTTTTGCATATTAACTTAATATACTTATTATATCGAAATTAACTAAGTCCTTTATATTATATAATGTTTTATATTTTTATGATTTTTACTTCAACTATACAATCATAACTTCTTGTTATTACATATAAACAACTCAAAGGATTTTTTAAATATTCGTAATTTATGTTAAAACTCTATTTCAAAAATTAAATTAGCTTTATAAAAATACCATTACTATTATAATAAAAACTGTCAATTTCATCATCTTACCTATTTTCTATATTTTTAATAGATTTAAAAAATGTTTCTCTAATATCTTAATCATTAATTTTTATATAAATTAAAGGCAATTTTTGTATGAGAAACATGAGCTTTATGTAATTTATATTTTTTTAAAAAATAATTTTTATTTTAGGGCAGACAAAAATTTTTAAAAATTTAAAAATAATATTTTATATATGAATTCAATAATGTTTTTTTTATTTACTTCTTCTATCTAAATCTATTCGATTCCAATAAAAATACCTATAAATATCAATATTTACTCTAATAGCTCATTACTAATATTTTAAAAATTTAATAAAGATTCCACTAATTAATTGATTTCATTCAAAATTCCTTTATGAAATAAATGTATGCCAAACAAACTACTATTATCTATAATACAATTTATACATTCAATTGAAAATTCAACTAATTAAATGTTATCTTTTTTTATCATTTTATATATTATCTCAATTTCTATTTTATCTAAAAAATATCTTATATATTTTGTCTTTCCTTAAAATAAAAAAACTTAAAAAATCCATAATATATCCCTTTACAATTCAAAATATTCATCATATTTTTAATCCAAAAATAATTTTATTTCAAAAAAGGTTTTATTTTCATATAATGCCTATACATTACTATCAATATTAGGCTAATTACAACTTAATGTCAATAATAATCTTATTTAATATATAGTTTATTATATTTCATCCATATTATATTATATATTTATCAATTATTAATTTAGTTCATGAATCAAAGTAGTAATTTTTTTTAATGGTTATTAAATATTACTTTATTGTTAAAACTTACCTCTATTGCTTGAAATTATTTTTTAATTTGATTTTTTTCTTATTTCGATTCTAAACTTTTCTTTTTTTTTTATAATTATTTGTTAAAAATTGTTCATTTTAATTTTTTATAAATAATATTAATCAAAAATATATCTTTATAAACTTAAAAATTAAAATTCAAATATTTTTTATTTTTGATTAAAAATTTGTTTATTGCTAATAAAAAAATTAAAAATAAGTAATATATAATAAAAATAATTATTTAAAATAAAATTATAGTATAGTTAAATGAAATATAATTAAATTATTAAAATTTTAAATTTAAATTTAATTATTTTACTAATAACATAATTATTATATATTAAAACATTAATCGTTGATTAATTAGAATCAATTAATACTTTAAACATAAAAATTAAATAAAACTTTTTATCAAAGTAGGTTGGGTTTTAATATATTTAAAATTAAAAGTTATAAGAAATATAGCAATATTATGATTTAAAAGAGTCATTTTATATAACCAAAAAATAATTATATTAATTTTATGTTACAAAAAGTATAGATTACTAAAACAAATGCATTGATCATAAAAATAAAAAATAAATCTTAAAAATAATAAATATAAAAAACCTTATTTAAAATAAATAAAAAATCTTATTTAATTTTTAAAAATTAAAAAATAAAACATTAAAAATATAAAATCGTTATATAGAATAGTTGGTATTAGTATTATAAATTTTTAAGATTATTAAATTTTCTTTTAAAATATGTTAAAAAATAATTACTATATCAATAAGAAAATGTTATAACAAATAATTTTTAAAATATCTAAAAATTATATATTTATAATATAAAATTAAATATAATTTAAAAAAGTAAATGCAAAATAACGAATATTAAGATTCTTAAAAATAATCTATAATTAATGATCAAATCGCATATTAGAATACTAATGTTCTAAAGCCAATAGATGTAAATTTGTATTGCTCTAATTAAGATTAATAAATCCCTAATTAAGAGATATCAAAATAAGGAATATAAATAAATTAAATTAATAATGATAAAGAAAACACACCTGACTAGGAGGTTAAATCTATAACCTAAATTATAGATGAAAGTAGAGAATAAAATGAAAGAGTAACAAAACTAATTTCTGATACATAATCAACTATATAAAGAGTAATAAATAAATTATAATTTATTTGACTTAAAAATACCAATAAATTTTATTTTATTTTTTTTAAAAAAGACAATGGACTCAGTAAATAAAACATTAGAATCAGTTGCAAAGACAATGATTGATATATAAGAAACAAAAGATAAGATAGATAATTTTTCTTCAAGTAATATATTTAAAATATTTAATTAAATTCACATAAAAACTTATTTTCATTAAAAATTATTTAGATTTAGGAAATAAAATGGATTAGTTTAAAAATAAAATAATTGAAAAATTTGCAAATGATGAATAGTAAAATAAATAATATATTTGGCCATTTATAATATAATTTTTTTTTAGTTATTAAGAAGATTTTAATTATTCACCAGAAATAACTGATGTTGAATCCGTCTTATAATAATTAAAATATAAAAATGATGTTGTAATTATTTTAGGTATTTTTTTTTTAGTTATAAGTTTTAAGTTAAATATTTATAAATTAATATACCAACCAATAAAGGATAAGAATAAACAGAAATAAAATATCATGAATAGTTATTAAATAAAGAATTATTTGAAAACAATTAAAGCTAGTTTTGGAAAATATATTAATTTCAAAAATAAAATGCAATATTAAATGATAATAATTTAAATGAAAAACAAATTGCTGTATTAATGCAAAATTTAATAAATTCAAATACAAATACAACTTTAATAACTTAAAAAATAAATGATAATTTAAAAATTGAATTAGAAAAGCAATAAAATAAAATATAAGAAATAAATAAATAATTAGAATAGAGTAAAACTTAAATTTATAATGAAGAAGAGGAGGAAGAGAAGAAATTAAATATTGAAAAATAAAGTTATGAAATAGAAAAAAATTTTAATAAATATAATGAAAATTTAATTTATTTTAAATTAATGGAAACATAAATTATTTACGATGTTAAAATGATTAATGCTCATAATATATTTAGCCTATATTTGATAATCATTTTAATTTATTTGAATAAAAAAAATGTTAAATTTGTAAAAATTAATTAAGGTAAAATCTTATTCATTTGTTATATAAATAAATAATGCAATTTATTAAAAATGATTATTTTTTATTTTAATAATTAATAATTATTGTGTTTTTTATTTAAAAAAAAATATGATTATTTCATATTACTATATATATTTTAATATTTTTTTAAATTATTTTTAAAATTTTTCAAAAGACCTCATTTTAAATTTCAATAAGAATAAAGAAATGAAATAATTTATAATATTGATTGTCTAAATGCTCAAATAATAGATTTAGACTGTTTAGTCTTGATAAATGTTAATAAAAAAGAATAAGAAGATGAGCTTTTTTAAAATTTAATTTATCAAGCTATTTAAAACAATACTTTGATAATCGAAATAAGCAAATCTCCTATCTTAGAAGTAGGAAATATAAAATAATTAATAGGACATACAGATGAAATTTTAATTAACCTAAATGAGTTATTTATGTGAATTAAAATTGTATTAATGTATATATTAAATAATATATTTTTTTTATTATAAAAAACTATACACCATTTGAAAAAATAAAATATAAATAGAATTAATACACAAAATAATAATATAATAACTTTAAAATTAATCAATAATTTAATATTTAATTTTTATTTATCTTTTAATACTATTTTATGATAAAATAATTTTTTTTATAGCCAAAAAATATATTTATTTTTTTAAAATATTCGTGCTTTCATTATGGTTTACCCTTTTTAAATAGTCCTTTATGAATAATATCTCCTTGATTGTTTTAAATTATTCCAAAACCTTCTAAATATCCATTAATAAATTATCCTTAATAAGAATATCCATTTGATGCTTTATAATATAATCCTTATCCATGTTTTTGATTATTTTCCCAGAGGCCCTTATAATAACTTCCATTTTAATAAGTGTATTGACCTTGTCCTTCTTTATAATTATTAATAAAATAACCTTCGTAAATTTCTCCATTATCACAAGCATAAATACCATATCCATTAAATTTATTATCAACCCATTCTCCTGCATATATATCTCCATTTTAAAATCTTAAAGAATAAAATTTATTTAAAAAATATTTTTTAATTTTTACTTAAAAACTCCTTATCCATTCAAAGTTTAATTTAAAATTTCACCTTCATAAAATTCTCCGTTTTAGAAATGATATTCTTGAATGTTTTAACAGATATTATTAAGATTTTTAAGACAATTCTACTTATAAAGTTCTATTTTTTCCATATTAAGCTTTTTTTATTCTATAATATTTGAATTATTGCTTTATTAATGTTTGCTTTCAAATTAAGAATCTAATACTTCTTTTTACAATGAAATATCTTCAGTTAATCTAATGTTTAAATGCTTTTATTCTTTTTGACTTTTTTTAATTATTTCAGCCTCATCATTATAGATATAATGATTATTATTTTATCCAAACAATACATTTTCATCTTTTTTAGTTTAATATGGATATTTATTTTTCATACTATTTTTACTATCATACTACTAATTTTCATTTAAATATTCACTTTTATAAATACTACTCATTTATTACTATTGATAATTACTACCATATTATAACTACGAAAATTAAGGATTATTTTTACTCTTCTAAAGGCTTTATTATTAATTTAATGAATTCTAATTTTATTTCTAAAATTCATCATTTTCAAAAAAATTATAAGAAAATTCTTAACCATAATTATTTTTTTTAATATTTTAATTTTAATTATTATTACTTTCTCTTTAAGAATTCAACAATGAAATAGGATTATTTTATTACCTTATTAAAATTTGTTAGTATTATTCCTAATTTACTTCTCTTTTACTATTGTAGATTTCTAATAATTAAGCACTATTTTTTATAGTTGAAGGCTAAAAAGACATTTTTTAAAAAAAAAACTGATAATAAATTATCTCTATAAATATAATGATAACTTTTTTATTTAATTATTGAAAGTTAAAAAATAGTTTAAGTATTAAAATGATTATTATATTAAAAATAATATTATATAATTATATTTAATATATTCTTTTTTTTAATTAATATTAATAAATTTAATTGATTAAATAAAAAAATCAACCATAAATATTAAAAGCAAATATTTTATAATTATAAAATCAAAATTTTTTGTTTGTTTATTATTTAAATATTGTTTAAGAAAACAAAAAAATGCAACAATTTTATATTAAGAAATATAATATTTTACAAAAAAATGTATTTTTTAAAAATTTATTCTTAAAAATATAAAAATCTTTATTTTTTACTAAAATTAAAAATTTTACTCCGTTTCAAAAATATTTATTAAAAATTTAACTATTATTTTAAAAAAGTTTTAAAAAAGCAACATCAAATTAAATTCTCTAAAATTTTATTATTTTATGCAAAGAAAAAAATAAAATTAAAAAAATAATTATTTAAATTTACGCCATTATAATTCTTAGACCAATAGTAGTATGGCCGTATAATTTAGTATATCAAATATTAGATTTAAGTTTTATAAATTTTAAACAAATAAATTTAAATTAAAAAAACTAGTAAGTTATAAATAATATTATTTTAATTAATTATGCGTCATGAATATACTTTCCAAATAAGTTAAAGTAAAAAAAATAATTGAAATAAACTTATTAAAAATTAAAACAAATAATAAATAATATATATAAAAAATATTTAATAAATAAGAACTATTATTTTATTTTAATTTCATAATTATGGTGTTATTTATTAGATATAAAATTTTATAAATTATGTAAATACTATATTTAATCATATTTTTAAAATATTGGCAACTTTTATTTACATTTTTTAAATATAATTAGTACAATTAGTATATTGTAATTTCAAATTTAGGAGTATTATTATTATTTAATGTTATAAATTATATAAACTATTTATAAATTTTTTTGTTAAATAAATATTTAAAACTATAATTAAAAATAGATTATAATGATTTATATATTTTTAATAGATAATTAGTTTATCTAAATATTAAATTTTTTAAATTTTATAAAAAAATTAATCAATAAAAATAAATACAATATATTTAAGTTTAGCTACTTTATTGAATTTAATTATAATAATAATTATTATTTTATATATTTTGAAATATTTTAATTATTTATTTATTAAATATAAAACATAATTTTTATATTAAATAAATTTCTAATGAAAATATGAATTATATTATGTTTACCATTAAAAAATATCATAGTTTATTTGATTTTAATCTAAAATAGTATAAATAAATATTTCTAAGCAATTCATTAAAAATGTATATAATATTTAAACACATAAAA